CGTTTGTAATACTTACCTGCAAAAGTGATTCAGGAGTTTGCAACGCGGATCTGAATAATTTCTGTTTACCACAGCCATATTACTGTATTACATTTAGTTTAATCAATTTGCCTGCCTTATTTTTTTGCAAGTCTGATGAACTCAACCCTTTTCTAGTTTGGGACACTTGTATGCAACCTCAACCAGAAGCAGAAAAACCACAGATTATCTGTGGTATTAGGAATATGAGAGAGATATTACAATTTCCTTCCATGGAGATTTGAATTTATGCTAATACTGTGGTAATAATTAGTACTGAAATACAGTTTTATTTAAAATGAAAATCCTCTACTACCCCAAGGGATTTCACAACTTTTCTTGTAAATGACATTTCTGTTGTCAATGTAAACCACAGTCATTATTCACAGCAAAACAACAAATTTTAAGGGTTATTCTTAGATAGTTTCTTTATGAACGTTGAATCCATTACCAGAATATGCAGCTATTTAAGGAAGCTAAGGTTCATTTGTTTTTAGTCTTCTGTCTTGGAAACAGGACCTCAATGCCATCACAGTAGTGTAATACTACTGCCTTTTGAAAACTGGCAATCTATTATAGTAGCTCCTGCAGCTTCTTTGTGTTTGTATGCAGCAGAGATTACCACACTGCAGTCTGAGAAGAACAATTGGGCCACAAAGCACATAGAACTGCTTCTTCTTTCTTGTTAGCAAAACAGAAGGAGGCTGCAATCCGAACATCTGAATTGTGCTGCTGGAAGGGAACAGGACTGAGCAGATGTCCCCATCCACTGGCATCTCCTGGTCATTGCCAACTCTGACCCTCAATCCCCAGCCCACCAAGCTTCCCTTGCTTACCCACTTCTTTCTTGACAATAATGAATTGTCCCTTCTGTCTCTGGGACCTATGCAAAGTTTCCTCGCAAGCTGACTTTTTCCTTGGTTCTTCATTTTTTCAGCTCCATGACACCAACACTTGTTTCCTTAGAATGGATCCGTGCCTTCTTTGTCCCACCTTCTTCAGACATCTCTTCTCACAGCCAACCTTTCTGGCATTTATTTTGCTTCTCCAGAACATGCAGCCTCCTATCCTTAAATGTCCTGGCGTTTCTCCCAAGCCCTCTGTAACCAGTACTATATTCATGGTCTCCTTTGCCTTTTTTCTTTCCCCACGGAATTCTCCATATGATTACAAACAAAAAAGGTTCCATTTGCTCAATCTATTGCTTTCTCCGCCCATTTTCCCTCCAGATTCTTTATGTCTAGGATTCCTGCCCTGTAACTTCTCTATATCTGGGACCCCTTCCTCAGTTCTCAGTCTACTCCATGTGAAGTTTTAATCGTAACCAAACTGACAATTTTATCCTTCTTTCACTGATGTTCTATCACTATCCTTAGCAGGTAGATGCCCATAAAGCAAGGTGGTTGCAGCACCATGGAAAGCTCCAGCTGAACAACTTGCTCCAACTAAGGCAGGAGTGGGCACCTGTGGCCCTCCAGGAATGTTTCTGGACTCCAGCACCCATAAGCTCCAGCCAGCATGGCCAACAGTCAAGGATTGGAGTTGTAGTGCAGCAGCACCTGGAGAGCCCCAGGTTCCACATCTCTGAACTAAGGCCTTATAAGTCCCTCTATCCAGTCTAGCTTTTCTAAGCTCCATTTCATTCCAGCCTTAAGATCCAGCCCCTGATGACAAGAACTTCACTTTGTGGTCTTCTTGGCATGCTCCCTGTGTTTTTGGGCAGGCAGGGTACAGCTGGGGGTACCTGAATTTGCAACACAGAAGCTAAATCCGTATGTTCTGAGGCATGTTGAGAAATAGGCATCCAACTCTTCTAAAGCTCTTCAGTACTAGTTGTCATGGGCCAGGAATCGGCTTCACCTGCTGAAAAGCAGCCTGAAGGAACAGAAGGCAAAGTGACTCTATCTGCTGCTGACCAGCCTTCTTGCTCCTGATGAGAACCAGCTGGTTCTGGCTTTCTTAAGCAGGGTTTCCAGTCTCAGTTGCTGGAAACAACATTTGTTGTTCCTGGCCAGCCCTTGCTGCTTCTTGCTTCTTGTGACCTTGGACCCTTGGCTTTCTTGACCCCCAGATCATCTGTGTGAACTGAGATACTTCTGACCTTAGGACTAGATTGAACCTTGTGTATGGACTCTGCCTCCAGGCAAGTACCCCCAAGACTTGGCTGGTGGGCTGGCTTCTCCCTCGACTGGGCTCTGCTGGCAGCACAGGACTATGACACTAGGTAACAACAGCTCTTAGCTTCTCCCAAAGCTGTTGTTAGCTTCTCCCGAACTTTCACCAACTCCCCTCCCTGCCCAATACTCAAAAAGTTCCTGTTTGGCATGGGTGCCCTACACACAGAAGGAATGTTGGTGCCGCAAAGTGCTAGTTACTGGGGAGGCAGGAGTTGTTTGTTTGATTTATATCCCCCTTTCCCCCCCAACGCACCCAATATGGCATTTATAGTTCTTCTCCTCACCATTGTTTTCTCAGAACAACCTTGTGGGGTAGCTTAGGCTGAGAGTGAATGGCTGGTCCAAGGTCACCTGGTAGTCTGAGTGGGTTTGAACCCTGGTCTGCATGTCCTAATCCAACGACACTAACCTCTACACCACACTGGCTCTCTTGAGATCTAGTTTACACACCAGAAACTGCTAGCCATTGCCTAGTAGTGTCAACAGCTCCAAGAATTGAGCTGAAAAAAAGTTTTATCCATTGCCTTATTGGATCAGACCTAGTTTAGCATTGTCTTTCCAAAGGAGGCCAACCTCTGGAGTTCCATCACGCAAGTAATGACCATTCAACATTGGCGTATTGGCTCTGAACATAAAAGTTCCATTTGCTCAACTACGTGATGTCCCATATTGATTTAGGGGAGTCCCGATGAACCATTGTATTTCATATTGACAGCTCCTCTTGGTTCAGAGTGAGTGTTGCTATGCGGTGAGCAATTGTCAAAGCGAAGCAAGCAGCAGTACCTAGAGGACCTGTCATTCCAGTCTAGCAAGAGCAAACACACTGATTTATTTATGACTGTGCTCAACTTCCTTCTTAAAAGGGGGGGGGGGAGTGTGAGAGAAATGTTCCCAGAGGGAGTGTGTATTCTAATTCTATTGCTTCAGTTAACATTAGTATATTGTCTTACACACAACAGTAATTTACTTTATTTATTGCTTGCATTGTTTGCAAGGAGTTGCAATCATGGCTTTTCTTTCTTCTTAAATATATTTTAGTAGGTTGTGAAACCAAATATGCCCTTTGCCTTTCTTAATGGGTAGGAGTTGGTTAAGAAGGGATGTGAGCTGTTTGTACGAGACCATTGTTGCATTACAACAATGGAGTATGTCATTCACAAACTGGTTTAATTAAAACAAAACGACAGAGAAGCAAGGAAATGAATGTGCTGTGATGTATACATTGATTTCTGAATGAGTCTTTCCTGTGCTGCTGATTTACACATTTACCTACCTTAAGGAAAAAGGGGAGAAAAAGCTGCCCACATAACTCATGAGGTTGAACATGATTTGTGGAAAAGAGTATTAGGCTTGGCAACTATGGGTTCAAATCCATACGCAATACTAGCTTTGGACACACTTATTAGATGAGCAATATATTTTATGTGAACTTCCCAACATACTGCGTAATCAGAATGCAGGAAAAACTATGCAGATGAAGGGGTGGAGCTATGCAAATAGGGTGATACTTTTATTCTCGGGTACTAGAATAACCACCACCAGCTTGCCATGTGGGCTGCACATGAGAACAGTGTAGCAATGTGGTCAAAACCTGCCCTTTATTCCTGCCTCTGGGTGGTTTGGCCCTTGCTGACAGAGATCTCGCAGAGGGGTGCAGTATGCCTCTGAATACTTTGCAGGGAGATCTACTGCAGTTCTCCAGATGCTCTTGCAGTAAGCAACCTTGTCTTCCACACACAGTCCACTGCTTATTATGGGCATTTTACCATATTATGGCATTTACTTGCAATATGCCTCTTACTGTTACTGGTGTTGAACACAAACCAGAGAGTGCTAGCATGTTCATTTCCTACTTGTGGACTTCCCAGGAACATCTGGGAAGTGGCTACTGTGGGCAGAGAATCCTGGAGCCTTTGGTTTGATCCAGTAGGATTTGCCTTGTATTCTTATGATAAGTCCTCATCAGACCTCATTTGTGGCAGAAATCGGTACATGTATCAGAAGCTCAGGAAATTCCAGCGCCTGTTCACATGTTACCCTCTAAATTAGGAATATAGAAACACTTGGTTGCTGGCAGTCACTAGTCATTACTGCAATCTGCCTGCTTTTGGAAGCAAAAGCTGGCTTCTTCATTGTCATCATCAAAATTTCCCATGGATTCTCCCATTAAGAATGTAACTTCTGACTTGCCCTGAATAATCCCCATGGAGGATTCATTTCAGATTTGTATCGTCTAGTGTAAACCTGTTGAGGGAAAGTCCATAGCTCAGTGGCCTTGCATGTGCCTTGCGTGCAGTCCTTTTCATCTCCAGATAAGAGGACATCTTCTGTCTGAAGCCTTTGAGAGATGCTGCCAGTTAGAATAGGTAATAATACTGATCTAAAGGGACCAGTGTTCTTACTCGGTGTAAGGCAGCTTCCTATCTTCCTGTTGAGTGCTGTCTGCCCATATTTTCTGTTACAATTACAATAAACAGAAATGAAACATGCTGCAGGATTTTCACCATATTGGAAGGCCTTTCCCTCCCAAATATTAAGATCCTGAGCAGCTCTGTACGTGCAGTGGCTTTTCTGTTAGTGATGGGATTCAGGAGAAGCCAGTATCCAAATTGGCTCCCAGTAACAGTAGAACTTTTAGAGTGACCTGAGTCCTCGGCTTGTAAATGACCTTCTGCTTCTTCTCTGTACACATATAGATAGAACTTAGAAACACCATGTCAGACTATTGGTCCATCTAGTTCAGTGATGTCTACCCTGACCGGCAGTGGCTTTTCAGGGTTTCAGGCAGTTTTCCCCAGCCCTAACTGAAGATACCAGGAACTGAACCAGGGACCTTCTGCATGAAAGCCAGATACTCTACCGCTGAGCTAGTCCTTCCCCTCCCTCACAGTTTAACTGCCTTTATTCATGACAAGGAGTCTACTCACAATGCACATGGTCCCTGGTCCCACCCAAGATTCTACACATGGTGAGCAAACATAAACCTATGAAAACCTACCAGCTGATGATGTATGTGAACCAGACACTCAGAAGCTCCTGTATTAACAGTTATGCACAAAGCGTAGAAGTACAGTGTGGTGAAACTGGCCTCAATATTAGGCCTAGGAGTCAACTGAGGTTTGCTGCTGTAGCAGAAACTGGAGAGGCCAGTAGTCTTCCTGTGTGTTTTCTTTAATAGTCGTGGGTGAACTTCCATGCACATCTGTATCATGTGGCTTTGACAGCATGCACTACGTAGGTGGACAGGAGCTGATGGGTGTGCCAGGTGGATCTCTTTAGGTTCTCTTGTCTTAAACTCTTATATCACAGGGCATGCAATCTTCTGTTAGGCAAAGGCAATGCTAGTGCTGGCAATTCACGCAGGAAGCATGGCAAGCAGCCAAGACTAACAGAGGACAAATAAATTAGACACACTGCATATAAGGAAAGGAAAGTAACTCTTCCGACTCTAAGAGTGCCTTTGTTGCTTGGCTTTCTCATCCTTGGATGCTCCCTTTACTTCAAGGCAAGGGTGACCAGGTTCAAGTCTGGAGATTGGATCTGGCCTGAGAGCCAGTTTCATCTCATCCTTGGTAGAGCTTTCAAATTAGTCAAGTGTTGATTAAAAGGTGGTTTCCCATGAAGTGACATTGTTTTAAAAAGTTGTATTACATTCTTTAAATGACATTTCCTTGTGAGTTTGTATGTATTATCCTAGCATGTGTACTCTGTAAACATGGACGTTCTTATAGCTAGTTGAGCCTGATTTTATTGCTTATTGTGACCAACTCATGAAGGCAATGGACTGTGTCTCCCTTGAGCAGGGGTGGGGAACATCAGGCTGGATGAGGGGCAAATATGGCCCTTCAGGCCTCTTCATCTGGCCCTTAAGGCCACACCCCACCCCTAGCCACACCCCACTCTTCTTTTCCTTTCATTTACTGTTTTATACTTCTCTGCCAGTGCATAAATTATGATTAGGGGTGGGGACTAAAAGAGGCTGGCCCTCCTAACTTTTTATGACTGATACTTAGCTACTGTTCTTTAAAAAAACTTTTGGAGGGGCATGATTTGCCTAAATTTTATTATTTAATTTGTATACCACCTTATACTTGAGATCTCATAACAGAAATTTGGGATTAAGGTGTGGGGCTTGTTAGTTTCTGTAAAATCAATGTACCTCCTTCCCTCATTGATGTTGAGGTCTTTCCCTACTTTTCCTTAACGCTCATTTTATTCTGTCCAAGCCTGTTACCAGCACCCATCTCACTTTTCACACTCTCATTTTTACGAGTAATTCAACCATGCTGCTATTATGCTAGGGACCCCTTTATCATCTGCCTCTGCAACACAAAGAATTGGCCTGTGGTTGTGTAGGATATTATGCTGCCTTCTTTCGATATGGTGTTTTTTGTTTAGCATCTACGTGTTACAGGGACGAGGGGTTAATGTGTTGTGTGTCTGACTACTGCAGTATGTTCTGAACCTTGAAGGTGGTTCAGAAGCTAGGATTAGTCCAAAATACAACAACCAAATAATTTGTTGAGCCCGCTTAGCGCAGGGAACAGTACTGGGTTGCTTCCACTAAGGTTTAACACCGTGCAGCCAGAACTTTAAGGGGAATGGCTCGCAAGGAATATATTTCACCTGCTTTGAGAGATATACACTGTTTGCATAAGAAGAGCCATGCTAGTAGCCCAAACTAGTCCAGCATTCTGTTCTCACAGTGGCCAGCCAGATGGCCAAGGGGCGCCCACAAGCAGTACCCAAGAACAAGTACACTTGCCCCCTTGCAATTTGCAGCAGCTGGTATTCAGAAGCATACTGCCTCCAATCATGGATGGAGTAGCCATCAACAGCCGCATCATCCATGAATTTGCCCAATCCTCTTTTAAAGCTATCCAAGTTTCATAGTTTAACTGTGCACTGCATGAGGAAATGCCACCTTTTGTATGTCCTGATTCCTTCAACATATGCCGTATTTTTCGCTCTATAAGACGCACCAGACCATAAGACGCACCTAGTTGTTGGAAGAGGAAAACAAGAAAAAAAATATATTCTGAATCCCAGAAGCCAGGACAGCAAGCAGGATCACAATTTAGCTCCAGGGACCACACATTCGCTCCATAAGACGCACAGACATTTCCCCTTAGTTTTTAAGAGGAAAAAAGTGTGTCTTATGGAGCGAAAAATACAGTCGTTTCATTGGATGCTTACAAGTTCTAGTGTTATGAGAGGGAGAAAAGATTCTCTTAACGGCTTTCCCCACACCACATATAGTTTTATCATCTTCTATCATGTCTCCTCTTACTTGCCTTTTCACTAAACTGAAAAACTCCAAATGCTGCAACGTTTCCTCACAGGGGAGTTGCTCCATCCCTTTGATCATTTTGACTGCTCTTTTCTGAACCTTTTCCAGCTGTACAATAGCCTTTATGAGGTGAAGCAACAAGAACTGTATGCCGTATTCTAAACGGGGTTGCGCCATAGAGTTGGCCACTGTGAGAACAGGAGATGGGCCTGTGGCTTGATACAGCAGAATCTTATGTTCTTATGGTATGTACCTGAATACATATTTGGTAAGAGGTTATGACATTCACAGGCATTTGAATAAGTTGTTCAAGGAAATGGACATAAACTGTGTTTTTCACTCAGCTGCTCTGACAATTATTTACTTGTTTTATATGTTACTGGTTTTTTAAAATTAAATTGCTTCATTTTAAATGCTTTGTTTCTAATCTGCATTGTAACATACTTCTGGGACAAATATTTATGGAGGGTGATATGTAAATGCTGAAACGAAATAGTAATTGTAAATGTATTGGCCAGGTGGGTAAGCAGTGAGAGCTTACTCTTAATATGCAATCTCATAGCATTGTTAATATGATATTTTAAGTCCCACGCGGACCTATTGTGTAAGGTCTAGCACTTTAATTTTAGTGCCTGCAATATCTTTTAATTCAAACTAGCTTAAGATACTCAATTCAGTGTTGACAGCAGTGACAAATAATATTGGTGTTAGCTAAGCAACTTTTCTTCTTCTTCAGGCATTGTCTGTTTAAAGTCTCAGTCTGATAATGTGGGAGGCAGATGGTCAGAATAATCCAATTCTTCTCCCAGTGTGCTAGGATCATCTTGCGTCTTTGTGAAGTAAACCATTTAACACTTCAGTGTTCTGGTATATGATAGGCCACTCTAGGCTGAACATTCCTTGACTTGGTTAAAAGTAAAACAGCATGGGTTGTGCAGATGAACATACATGTAAAACTGTGCTACATTTGCTCATCCTGCAGATCCAGGGGAGATGAATGTCATTGGCTGATGCACTGTTTGGTAGCCACATGAGATATAAAACAGACCCAATGAAGCATCAGCAAAAACTTTAGTGGCAAAAAACATAGCAAATTCCTTATCTGTCAAATGCCTGGGAGAAGCGTTACATTTCTACATGCTGTTGACAGGATGCTAATGATGCTCCCAGGTGGACCTCAGTAGGGAAAGCCTTCCACAAGTAGGAAGCCACCACAGAAAAGGCTCTCTCCCATGTCACGCTTGATGACCCTCAGGGGGGCACCCAGAAGAAGTCCTCAGTGGAAGACCAAAGGGTTCAGATAGGCCTACATCAAGAGAGGTTCTCTGATAGATATCAGGGCCCTGAGCTGTACAAAGCTTTATATTAACTGTGATGACTCACAATGTGAATCAGCACGGCCTCGCAGGAGCTTCATCTCATGGTGATGATCGTGTAGCACCTATAATTTGTGTCCCAACCACCACACGTCCTGGGAGTGGTTCAAACTCCCTTGCCTATGTTACCGGAGGGGCTTGAAACCCAGCTGTAATTTGACAAGTGCTAGTCTTAAGCCTACTTTTAGGGAAATGCATTTGTATGATCTACCTGGTGCAGGTCTTCTATGGTTTAAAACACTTGCATAGCGTAGGGATCGTTTATGAAAAGAAAACCTCTAGGGGCTGCACTTACTGTTGACATTTTCTTTTTGAATGGGCCTTTATTGCAGATGTGTTTGCTTTGTGATGTTTCTACTTTCATTATTCCTTGTTCTCCAAATTGGCAAGAGTGGAACGATCGCGGTGAATTTAAGTAAGGCATGGCGTACACATCCAGCTTTTAACGGTAGTGACTGTGTATTGTATGTCAGATAATGCATGTTGACAGAAGACATTATTGTTACAATGGAGGGTGCATTTTTAAAGCAAGGTGAAACACATGTATTTGAAAGATGTTTCCTTTTTTCCCTGAACTTAAACTCAGACCTCACACCACAAGCTATGTAAATAAATCTTGGCTACAGTGAAAGCAGACAGCTTGGAGGCTGCCACTTTGCTTCGTTGCACTTGCAGAGTGCAGGAAGAGAGCTGAGCACGGCAAGCGGCCTTTCACCAAAACATGTATTTGCAAGAAATGAAATTAAGTGACAGCCTGGTGCAAATACTCCTCACCCCATTCTCTCTTGACTGATGACTGCGTGGTATTTGGATAGCTGGACTCTTTGCAAACAGCACCGCTATGGTGCGATCCTAATACTGTTAGATGGTTGCCTCGCAGTGGGAGACCTCCTGCATTTGTCCATCCCTGCTGGCTGAGAAGGGGTTAAAGGTAACATGAAGTCAAGGGAATGGATGAATACTTGCTCATGTTGGTGTGTCTTGACATTAAGTGGACAGCTGGAAGTGTGGGAAGTAGCTACAAGGAGGTATTACAAACTCTCTCACCACAATATTAAATGCCACTGCTTGTGCATTTGGAAAGGTATAAATGTATAAAGGTGCTGGAGGAGACTCTTGAGAGTCCCATGGACTGCAAGAAGATCAAACGTATCCATTCTTCTGGAAATCAGCCCTGAGTGGTCACTGGAAGGACAGATCCTGAAGCTGAGGCTCCAATACTTTGGACACCTTATGAGAAGAGAAGACTCCCTGGAAAAGACCCTGATGTTGGGAAAGACGGAGGGCACAAGGAGAAGGGGAGGACAGAGGACGAGATGGTTGGACAGTGTTCTCAAAGCTACAAACATGAGTCTGACCAAACTGTGGGAGGCAGTGGAAGACAGGAGGGCCTGGCGTGCTCTGGTCCATGGGGTCACGAAGAGTCGGACACGACTAAACGACAACAAAGGCATTCTTGGGTAGTGGTTAGAGGTGGGGTGGGGAATCTGTGATCCTCCAGGTGTTGCTTCATCCCAGCTCCCATCAGCCCCAGCCAGCCTGGACAATCAGGGATGAGTTGGAGTCTAACAACATCTGGAGATCACTAGGTTCTCCATCCCTGGGCTAGAGCATTGGACTAGGAGCGGGGGAGATCTAGTTTCAAATTCCCAGTCAACCAGGACCCTTGGGCCTGTCATCATGTCTCAGCCTAACCTACTTTACAGGGTTTTTCTGAGGATAAAATGATGGTGGTGGGAAGAGTAATGTACCCTAATGTACACTGCCCTGAGCTCTTTTGATGAAGGGTAGCTTATGAAAGACAGAAACCACCCAGGATTCCAAATATGGCCTGGGGAATCCAGCCTGGGCTATCATGAGCATCCTGTGGGACTTGGGGAAGCCAATATCGGGTCATGGTGGTTGAGGGTGAACTGGGGTGAGCCAGCACACCTCAGAGTATAATCTGAGGCCAGTGTATTATTTATGTGCTACATTTATATCCCACACTTTCAACTCTAAAAGTCCCTAGGTGGCAAATAATACCAAAAGGTAAAGTGCAATATAAAGCTATATGACACATCAGGTAGACAATAGAAACTGAAGTTTCTAAAAGGTTTCATAAAAGTTTATTAAAACTACACTCCCCCTCAGAAGTAGCAATAATGCTTAACAACAACAACAACAACAACAACAACAACAACAACAACACTGTCCTACCTTCCAGGGATGTCATAAAAATCCCTGAGATATAATCTATGTGGTGTACTTAAGATGCACAATAGTAAGTGACTATACCATGATTATTGCTATATTACCTGTGCAGCAGTTATCTATTTTGATGCCTTCAAGAATACTGGGGTTACTATCATTGCCATGTTGGAAAGGCTAGTTAGCACATTTGAATGGCTGACTTCATAGATCAGCCTGAGTCTTGGCTGGCAAACAAGGGTGGTTTTTTTCTTTCTTTCTTAAACAGATGCATACCTCTGAACTCTTACATTTCAGTCTGTGACTCACAACCTATTTAGTGGGTGTACTTGTAATTAAACCAGTGGGGTCACAGCTAGCTTAAGCCTGAATGCTACAAATTAGCCTTAATGGTTTTGTGGATATCACTGAAAGACCACAGTGTCGAAACCACTTATTCAAAAACAGCTCTAGTAAAAGAAGTAGCAGAGAGTGTTCTTTCAGGTAGAAAGGAAATATATTTTCATGTTGGTTTATAACAGAGGCAGAGATATTAATTTGCAGCAGTGACTAGAAGTAGAGAGCCAGGAGTTGGCATTTATTATTCCTTACAAATGAACAGAAAGAGAGTGCCATATTCTGTGTATGACTGTGTGTGTAGAAGCAAGCATTTTGTGAAGGGCCATAGCTCAGTACAGTTGTACCTCGTTCTGGAGGTCCGTTCTTAACCTGAAACTGTTCTTAACCTGAAGCACCACTTTTGCTAATGGGACTTCCCGCTGCCATGCGATTTCTGTTCTCATCCTGAAGCAAATTCTTTCTGGGTTAGTGGAGTCTGTAACCTGAAGCGTCTGTAACCCGAGGTACCACTGTAGTAGAGCATTTGCAGAAGGTCCTAGGTTCAATCCACAGCATCTCTTGGCAAGGCAAGGAGACTGTAGTGGGCAGTGTTGTGTGGCATTCCCTTGACCTGTGGTTGATCATGATGTTCCTACCTACTGGGAGGGTTGGGGGGTGGACAAGACTGGCCACTGGAAGTCACCACTGCCCCACCCCACTGTCCACTAATGCCACTCCATTGCCTGAAGCCCTGAGCTGCTTGCTGACAGTCATTGTAGACAATACTGAGCTAAATTGACTATTGACCCAACCAGTCCTTTTTTTTCTAAAAGAAAAAGTTTAGGGGTACTCTCATTCCGTCTGAGCCTCAGGAAACACCGTGACAGGAAATGAGGCTGCCATCGGGGGTAGCAACGGAACTGACGATTCACCGTGCTAGAGAATAAACTAATTTTTTTAAAGAATTTTAGTTTCTTCTCCCGTTAGATCACAAAATGTTAAGGGGTATGCGTCCCCCTGTGTTCCACCCCCCAGAAAAAAACACTGGGTCCAACTCAATATAAGGCAGCTTTCTAGGTGTGTATGTGTATGTACAGACATGCCTAGGCTTGTTAATATTATTTTTTATTATACTGTTTCTGCTTTTGTCCATCACTCTAGGAAACGTTTCTCTTATCTCCCTGTCAAGTTGCTGTTAAAGACACGGGAGCCTTGCCAATAAAAAGAATAAAATTATGTTAAATAATTGCAAATTTGAAATAATTTAAAACATTTAACATCTCTTCTTCACCCTTTACCATAAGGTCCCAGTATGGGTTACAATAAAATATACATTTATGAAACGTTTACAACCATAAAACAACGGCGTAAAAACAATTAAAAACAGTTCCAAATATCAAAACAATATAAGCATTAAAATGTGTGATGGAAAGGATTGGCGAAGTGGATATTTAAAAAAGGATATGGGACATATTTGGTGGACCTGTGCAATAGTTTAAATCATTTGGGGAGAGGTAGTAAAGATAATATCATTAATAACATCTTACATTTTACCATTGGACCCCTGATAATTTTATTAAGGCATTTAGAGACACAAATAAACCATAAGGATTTAAGATGGAATTTAATAGTACTTCCTTGCATGCTAGCTGCACACAAAAAAGGGAAAATAGGTTACCACCAACAGTGAAAGAGTGGCTGACCAAAAATTTGTGGGGGTAACAATGTTTGAGCTTATGAAATTGATTAGAGTAAAAGAAGGCACACAAGAAAGAGAAAATATGAGAGATAAATGAAACCTTATTGAATTTATGGAAAATAAATATAACATAAATTTTGAACGGCAGTTTTTTCTATGTGATACAACATTAACTATAACATTTATAATGTATTTATTATATGGAGTTTATCTTTTGTAGTTATTGACTGCGTATACATGAGATTTAATGAAGTCTGTTTATAAAACTTAAAAATACACAATTATAAACAGTGAAAACCATAAATAAAAAAGTGTAAAAACCATGAAATCAGCTTCATTTCTAAAAACGATGCAAACATTTTAAAAATCCAGTTAAAAATTATGATCTGGAAACAATTGTGCATTTTAATAGTAAACTTTTTTTTTAAAAGGTCTAGATGGACTTCGAAAATTTGCTTATGATAGCAGATAGATATTGCCAGAATAACTTTTTTTTCTGTATTTACTATTTCTATACCATCTTTTACTCTAGAGAGTACCAAAGTGGTTTACCAGCGAAAAACAAAAACAAAAAACCCCTCCCCAAGCCAGACACATAATATAACAACAAATCTTAAACCTATCTGTAAAAACCATATCAGTAAAATATTATCAATTACAGCAGTCAGGGTGCTGAAAACTGGCCATACAGTCTGGAAATGCCTGAGCCAAATAGCTAAGTTTTTACAGCACCCTAGAAGCACCAAAAACTCAGTTCCTGCCTAATCTCCAAGAGGAGACATTTTCCATGTTGTCCAATGATGGCCTGCATGACATAATTGCCAGCCAGAGATCCTATCCTGTGCATCTTTACAAGGACATGACCCTCACTGAGCAAAAATTAGACCGGATGCATTGTTGAACCTGTCTCTCAGGTTCCTCCCCCAGCTATCATCAGTAGCCATTTCTTCAGGCTAAAGGAGAGGGAGAGAGATGGGATTTCAGGTTAGCTCTGCTGAAAGACCAGGAACTTTTGGCTGCTCCTCTCCTTAAATTATTTCTATCCCAGAAGGTCATTATGAGAACTCTGTAACTAAGAAATAGTTCTCTGGTTCCCCCAGTCCCGTATCTTTTCTGTCATGTTGTTTAGACTAGAAGCCTCTGGGAATTGAGTCTCTTATCACTGACATTTGCAAGTCACTCTGGGACCCTTTATTTGCCTTGTGGGAGATAAAAATGTTTTAAATAAGTGAGCCCTAAGGAAAAATTGTACAGCATTGAATTGACATTCCTTGTAATTCTGGAGTAGGGTTTTCACTTGTGGAAAAAAGTTACCAGTTAGCAGGATCAGCTACGAAGGACCTCTGTTTATTCAAAGACATGATCATAACATGGGAAGAACCTTTGGTGTTTTAATCCTTTACTATGCGTTGGAAATACCTACAAGAAAATGGTGGAATAGGGCAAGCTATCTAACCTATGTTATAAATTTCAAATACTTTGTGAGTTGCTCAGTAGTTGTGTTGGTGCCACGGATGAGGGTGGCATTTCGGGTGGTGACTCAAGACATGGTCTTCTCCATGGCAACACCCCATTTGTGGAACTCCCGCCCCAGGATAGTGTGTCCGTCTCATGTATTGTTGGTGCTCAGCCAGATGGAGGTCATATTTTGTTTACCCAAATTTCTATCTCTTCTGTATTGCAGCATTCGCCAACCTAGGGTTCAGCTGCAATGACTGAGGCTGATGGAAGCTGTAAACCAAAACACCAGGAAGTCGTTGGGTTGGGTCTGGTGGGAGTTTTGCAGCAGCATACATCCAGAGAACAGGCTGGGGAATTCTGGTCTATGACAATCTCAGTTGCTGGTATTATTTGTATTAAGTTTTAAAGGATGTATTTTAAGTAGGTTTTTATTGCATAGATTGGCTTTTTATGCAGCTCAGCACATGGGCTCCCATGGGGGAAAGTGTGGTATAAAAATAAAATAAAATAAAAATACGAATGTGGTCTGGGACTGGGGGTCGGGGGAGACTATTTCCTGTTGGATGTCCTACAATATATATGTTGAAACTGGAATAGCACCATTTCCTAAACCTCTTGCGTCTCAAAGTGTATTCTTATCAGAGCCTTGCATCTTCTGGTTTCATAGTTATAGAAACATTTTGGTCAAATAATATTTTGGAATAGGGATCAGCAGTGGAACACTCCAAGGCAAACTGAGTGCCAGCTGGCTGCCTCCTGCCAACACAATAGAACGGAAACAGTAATAATGTGATGACTCTAGTGTGCTACCTCCTATCCTAAGAGTGGGAACCTCAGGCTTGGCATAGTGGATTTATCTAAGCCACACACCCTCTCCAAATCACAATCATCTTTGTCTGGCTGGAATTTGTCCTTGAACTCTAACAATGCTTCTTGCTTGTCTGTGTGGAGGATGCAGAGGGATGTGTGTGTGTAGAAATAGGCTACTGTACAAAGGTAACATTCACATTCAATGCTCAGCTTGTTTTTGCCTCTAGCCACACCTACCACTGACATGTGGCCCTCTGAAGGTTGCCCAGGAGGCAATGTGGCTCTCAGATGGGAAAAAGTTCTCAACCCACCTCACGAAGCAGTCCTTCAATAAAATTAGTTATTTACCAGTGCATTTTGCCTTTGTACTGGCTCTCAGTGAATAGTACAACATAGCAACTGACTTTCCAATATAGACTTGCCTGCAGGAGAGGCATCTGCCACGCTGTGAAGTTCATGGGGTGGTGGTTCATGAGAGGACCTCCTTTGCAGTGGAAAGCCCTCCCATTCAAGGTGTGCCTGGCCCCATAATTGTACATGTATTGGTGGTGATTCAAGACAATCCTTTTTTTGCGCAGACCTTCTTTTAGGGAGTTGGGATAAGATCAGAATTATCCACCAGCACTAATTCTGCAGTATCATTGCTGGTTTGGTTTTGCTGTTTTACACATTTTGTTTTGTGTTTTAGTGCAGTCTTCTCTAAGCTGAGAAGATATAGCTCCCATCATCCCTGACCAACGACTACACTGGTTAGGGTGAACAGGAGTTGTAGTTCAAAACCAGATGTTGAGAAGTCCTGGTTTGTTTGCATTAGACAAACAATATTTGCTATATTAAACTGCATATAACCTGACCTGGAATTGCATGGTCTGTGTGCTATAGATCCATATAAATGAATCAATAATTGAGAGAGGTTTGCCACCTAATGTGCAGAACAGAAGCCAAAAGTCTACTGATGGTTCCGGAGGAAAGAAAAGTGCAATTTATTCCTTTAATTAATTAAGATTGCTTTTCTACACACAGGCATCTGGGAGAAATCCACATGGAGTTTAGGGAGGATTTGTTCTGAATAGACATGCACAAGATTGCACTGCATATGCATTTATTACATAGCTGGAAAGGAGTCGAAGGCGGCATATCTGCAAAGAGTGAACTAATTTTGCTTTCAGGAGGTTGGTTAGGCTGAGAGACAGTGACTGGCCCAAGGCCATCCAGTGAGTTTCATGGCCCAGTCCAGAGTTGAACCCAGATCTCACTAGGTTCAAGGACAGTTCTATTCACTACTCTCCGTGCTAAATACAGTCTGCCTCTGCCTATGCAATTTAAGATGCAGAATCCTCAGGATCTTGGCAATTCACAGTATTAATCCTATATGTCACTTTGTTTAATAACTGCTCAAACAACTGCACAGTATCCTCAGCTACTAAATTAATGTCCAAATAATAACAATAGTTATTATTAGTAATAAAAATATTCTCTACTAAAAGTGTTCTGGCTTAGAATTTAAACTGACAAATTTATTCCATAGTTAGTCAGCCGTTTCTGCTGCCGCTTACATTATCAGAACAGTTCATCCTAATATTTAATGTAATTTTCCTTTGGCCTGACTAAAATATATATATGTCCCCATACCTTTGTTTATTATTTGATTACTAAGCACTTGATGCCTGGCAGATCAGAAAGTTCTGCCTGTTGGCTAATTCACATATGAAATGCATCCCTCTGCGTTGTTGCCATCGTCTTATCAGAATGCAAGAACAGATCAGACCAAAGATTCATCTTGCCCTGCAACCCATTTCTAATAGAGGAGAGTCGGATGCCTCTGGCAAGCTCACAAGAACAACAAAGTAGATAGGGAACTTTTTCTACCTTGGTCGTAATACTAGAAACTGGAGTCATCAGAAACTCTGAATGTTGGAAGATTCAGAACAGACAGAAGGAAGGGTTTTGGGGTTTTTTTTGATGATGTTTCAAGCATCATGGAAAGCCTGAGCTCTTTGTCAGGTATCAGTCTCCTCAAGGGGATCCTCAGCATCGAATTTAGGGGCACTGCCTGTTTAACAGGAGCAACTCTCGAGCTCTGTACCAAAATGCTGTTGAGAGATTCATGTCACCCTGGATGCACACTGCAATCAGGTGGCCCAACTGCCTGCCACTTTGCCAGTGATGGTGTTTAAATTCCCAAGAACGTTGCAACACAACACTGTGACACTTAAGGAAAGGCTCCTCATAAATCCTAATTAAGGGAGACAATAAAGCAAAATTTTACAGAACTTTCACACATAAAATTGGGCCTGGACAGGTTCCAGGGTTTTTTTTTCCTCATCTGCCACCCAACAGTCAACTCGCTGTGTGGTTGTCATGTGCCTGATGTGAACACGGATGACCTCAAAATGGCCTTCGGGACAATCGTGTGTTGAGCAAAGGCAACCTCAGAGCTCGTATTTAACTAAGTTGGGGAATAATAATGGAGAAATCCTTTGTTGATGATGTGTCTGCAAAGGCAATAGGCGTTTTAAGAGCGATGGATGTCAGTCTTACAGGCTTTTGGGGAGAATTGCAATTTATGACATGTTAGGATAAACAGTTGGATTATATTTCTGAAAAACGTGTTCCATCAGGTAAAATCGTTGTGATTATAGGCTCTAGTAGTTTAAGTAAGGAAGTTATGCACTAAAAGGTTGAAATTGTAAAACACGTTTGCTTGTGCTTAACTGCTAATCCTTCCCTGTATCTATGTTGAATAAACTACAAGAAGATGAGAGAGAGGAAAAACCACCCCTCCTCCTCAGCATTAAACAATAAAGGCATAGATGGCACACTGTTTCATCTTGATAAACAAAGGCAGCTATGCTGTTTTCTTTCAAGATGTAACCGTCACTGGTCTTTCTATTTTGTCTCAGTGCGGAATATGAGTTAAGATTTCAATGTGACTAAAATTAAACTGATGTTTAACTCTCGTTGAAAGCAATGGAACTGGGGAAATGCTTAAATTTGGCTGGGCTGTACCTCCGTTTAAATCTTTTTGTGGTTTCCACCCCCCTTCCCGTAGAAGGGGAATAAAACTTTATAAATCTGGCTGGATGAACTGATCAATGTTTATATTCATTATAAGTCACCCACACCTTTTGGAATTCCTGCAGCAAAAAGTGTCTCACTTTGTGGGTAACCTGGTTTCAAAGAAAACAAACAGTCTGTTAATTAAAGCAAACAAACAAAATAGATGTGCTTGACAGTACTGGACAGCAGAATAAAAAAGACCCTTCAGTATCTTGCTTTATGTAATTTATATAATTTAGATGTTTAGGGTCTCAAAAACAGATGGACAAGTACTTGAAAGAAACAATAGAATAACTGACCCATGCATATTAGAAGTTACAATCAAGCAATTATTATTTGAGCTCAAGAATGAGTTGGAAATATTTATTTTAGGCTAACTAAATGGACCTCATGAGGCCCTTTGTGTATCCACATATTGTGCCAATCAGAAGCATGTGCTAAAGCCTTGAGCATGAGGTAGAAATTTTCTCCGTATTTTTTTCCATAAATAAATAACTGTGCTTGTGGAAAAAGATAACCCAAAACACTTTGCTGCATCTTTGTTTTGTTTTTGCTTTTATCAAGTTCTTTGTGGCTCTTTTCCCAGTTAACTTTAGCTGCTTATTAATTAGCCTGTTTTTTATATTTGGTTTATTTTAAGGGGAAAAGCTGCAGATGTCAGACAGACTATTTTAGAGGTGCTTTGCTAATACAGTTTTTCCAGGATTTTCCTGCTGGAAAATAATACAGCTTGGCCTTACTATTTATGAAGTAGAGATGGGTGTGTTGGGTGGGGATCATTCTAGCATTTCGTTTTTTAACCTGGCCATGTAAATCCTTAGGAGTTATTGTCCGAGTGATATGTTGGAAAGGATACGTGCATCATTTCAAAAAGTTTGTGCTTATGGTAAGATGCGTTAGTTATCAGTAATTTTACGCAATAGTTTTAAGTGAATTCGTATCTGGGGAAATTGGGGACAAAGTTACAGACTGAGCTGTTTGAACCTTTGTTAGAATTTCTTTTTCAAAATCACCTTGTGATGATATTGAAGTCCATATGAAAGGGAACAGAATTCATTTTTGTAAAGCCTGATTCTATCAGTGCCAGGGGCATGTAAGAAGCAATCACCTTTATTTTTTGTTTTATATTTTCCATTCACAGTGCCAGCTGACAAGCTTGTTCAGGCATATTCAGTTTGCTCCCTCGCAGTCGAACCCATGACCCAGTTAACCCAAGGGACCTACTGTTTCACCTGATTCATATTCCTGAACCTAACATGACGCTACCAGATTAACTTACTTGCATGTTGGGTCGCAAGTTTCCTAGAGACAAGACTTTGTTTAGTTTAAGCTAAGTATTCTAGAGTCTTCTAAAACCTTATTGATGGAAAAATGAACGCCAGTCCTTGTTTGCGTAAATTATTCCAGACATTGTCTCTGTCTAAAATTTCTTCAGCAATCGGATTTAGAGCTTAATAAAATAAAACGTGCAGATCTTGCTTCCCCAAAGAGTGCTTATAGTAGATATTAGCAATGTACTACAGTAAATTATTCCACCATTAAAAATGCAAATAGTCCTTAGTAACAGACTTTAAATTCTACCACAGATATGAGTATTACTTTTCTTAGCTTTCCCAACTGAATTTCTGGTGATGGAGTATATAATCAGTCCTCCACATCATGTAATGATTCTCCTCTCCCTCTTTAAAGTAACATGGTATATGTCAGATAAAGCAACTACATTTTACTTACCTCACAAGTTCACCTCTTGCCTGTGAATTATTGCATTCGTATTCATGAAGTGCTTATCAGACAAAACCTACAAAAGAACATAAGTAAGCTTGTGGGGTGGGTGGTGGAGGAATATGAATTAATGAGTTAGTTTACACATCTTCCAGTATATTATACAAAAGATAAGCAAACGATTAATCTAGCAAAACAGGCCTTGGTTTATTTCAAATTAATTTTTGCTTTGTTTGCTAAATTGAAATATTTTTAGTTGCATTGTGCGCTCCCTCCCCACCACCAAAAAGACACTTTTCAGGGAAACATTGTATATGAAGTGAAACGTATTTTGTGCGAAATAACTTTATGTCTAGCTAATAATTAGCTTTTTCATGCTTCCTGGCTGGATAATCTCTTACTAGGAGCGAGAATAAACTAGACTATGACTGCTTGAAGTCTGAAGCCAATTTAAAATGTATTGCAAAGGGGAAGCACACCACAGCAAGTAATCTATAGGAAGGGGGAAAGCGTTCTACAAGTGTCCCACAAATGTTTGCCTTCTTTTTAGCACCACCTCGTTTCACACTGAAAATTGTTTCACAGAAAATTTTTCCTTAGAGGATTTTTTTTAAAAAAATGTCATAGACGGTTGGTAATTTACAGTATAGGGAATTTGCCTTTTGTTAATTAGAAGTTTCCATAAGAGAGCATACTGTATATAACTGTACACCACCTATATGATAAAACCCTTCAGGGGCTCAGCACTGCTGTTCATGCGGCGTCTTGCTTAGGGTTGCATTAAAAAGGAATGACCTAATATGAAAAACAAGCAAACGAAAGTTACTTGCACTACTAACCAACTCTCGATTTGGGCTGTTAAATGTTTTCCTAAGTCTCTCTCACTCTTTCCCCCACAGAGCAAGGGACTTCCAACCATAAAATTGCATGCAGGCTCTTTTTCATGTTGTGACTTCTCCAAATCCATCTTTCCCAAGGCAGGCAAGCTGAGGATCTCTTCCGATTCCTCCTGTGGAAAGGTGAGCTCCCAAACTTGCACCAGCCCTAGACAAGGCCCCCCCCCCATGCAAAACCAGGGCCAGCTCTTTCGCACTGCATGCAGAACTCCCCAAGTTCAATCCCTGGCATCTCCAGGTAGGGAAAACCCCCCAACCCCCATTTTAAACAACCGCAGTGCCTCTGCCAGCATTGAGGCAGCCAGTGGGCTGACTGGGTGCAAAAGCTTCTCTGAAAACTTCCTGTGCGGGGCATTTCTTTTTCTTTCCTTTTAAAAAATGAGTTTGCTTTTTTTTGGGGGGGGGAGGAGAAAGTCTCCCTCCTTTTGCAAAAGTGAACCCACCCCACCCCCCTTGCTGGTGCTCCCCCCTCTCCTCTCCCCGGCGGTCAGGGGCAAAGACGTGTGAATGATGTGATTCTTCCCCGGCCGCCTTCGCCTCGTGGGGCTGCTGCTGCCGCCGCCGCTGCTGCGAATTGCGCGAGCGAGAGGAGACGGAGGAGGAGGAGCCGCCGGAGGAGGAGGAGGCCGGGCTAAGGCCGGCAGCGGCGAGAGGGGACGCCTGCACTGTCTCTTTAAGGGCTCTCCGTCTGGGGTGGCGCTTTTCTCTCGCTAAGGCTCCCTTTGATATTAATAGTGTTGGTGTCTTGAAACTGACGTAATGCTCGGAGACTGAGGTCCTGACAAGCGATAACATTTCTGATAAAGAGCTGATCTCCTTGCAATCTCCAAAAGCCTCCTCGCCTCTCCTCCTCCTCCTCCTCCTCCTTTTTTGGGGCTTGTTTGTGCCACTAGAAGCCAGGCTCTCTCTCTCCCTCTCTCTTTCCTTTTTCATAAACATAACCAGGCAGATCCAGGTCCTCCTTTGCGCTTCCCCCTTTCTCTCTCTCTCTCCCCATCAGCAGAGGGGGCGAGAAGGGGGGAGGGTTTGTAAAAGCAAATCTTTATTTTCCCCTCTCTCTTTCTCCCTCCCCTTCTTTTTCTTCCTGCTTTTAACCCCCGCTTCTCCCTCTCTCTCTGTCTTCCTCCTCCTTTCTCTCCCCCCTCCTCCTTCCTTCCTTCTCTCTTTCTCTCTCTCTTACCCCCCCCCCCGCTTTCCACCTCTTCCAAAATAATCCAAGATCAACTCTGTTGCAAACAACAGAAAGACGGTTCATGGCTCAAGCGACAGTTCCACCATCTTTCAAGCTGCTCCGGTTATTATTATTATTATTACTGCTGATTAATCAACAGGTAAGTGGTGGCGGCGGTGGGAGATGTTTAAAGAACCGGGCCTGTGGGGAGGTGGGGGCCGGTTTCAAAAAGAATAACATCAGGGGCTGTGTTTTGTGTGTGTATGGTGGTTGGGGAGGGCAGGAGAGGTGGAGATCGGAGGTGGGGGGGGGAGGAAGAAGAGGGGAGGGGAGTGGGGGGCCGGTTGCGCGCAAATCCTTTCCTGCTTCTGGCGATCACTGCGTATGTGACTCTGGTTTTTCCATTTATTTATTTATTTATAAAGAAGGATATTCTCCAAATGGTATATCGCGTGTGCGTTATGTCTGCGTGCGCAATGAGAAATCAGAGCTCCGAAACCAGGGTTTGTTGGAAAGAGGGGGGCGAGTTTGGTGGTGTTGTAAAGAAGGGGGTGTTGTAAAATAGTGCAAAAGAAGAAGTGGAAGTGCATGGAGGTTTTTTTTTATTTTTATAAAAATATTTTTTGCATTTTTTTTAAAAAAATAAAACCTCCCTCCCTTTCTGCTTGGCCTGGCTTTTGTGGGTCAAAACCATGTGTTGATGCTTGGGAAATGGGCGACTTGAAAACTTGCAGTAGCCCTGTTGGTGGTGGAGTCAGCGGGGGTCAAGTTCAGCAGCCGAGGAGAGAAGGGAAAAAAGGGAAGCCCTTCCCCCTTGCGCTCCCTCTCTCCCGCCCCCCACCCGAAAAGAACTTCTAAAACTGCCGGTGTCTTTCCTGACTCCCCTCCCTTCCTACGTGCATAGCTTTGATTTAATTCCTCCAACCCCCCCCCCCCAAATGTAGGAAAGGAAAGGAGGGGTGGAGGGGAAGAAAGCCCAGAGATATTCTTAAAAAGAAAAGTTTTGCCAATCTTGCACCCAGAGAGAGTGCAGAGACCCTCCAGAGTTTTGGCACCTTTGTGATTTGTTCCCAGAGGAAATTGCTTTCTTTTAGAAGGATAGAAGAAAAGGGAAGAATGGGGACTGTGACAAAAATCCAGACTCAAGAGGGAGACCATTATGAAAAGTAGTAAGTTCGGGGTGGGGGGAGGGAGGAAACTTTATTATTATTATTTTTTGCGTTATGTGTGTGTAACTTGTGGATGGGGAGAGAAGTGTGATGGGTGTTGCGTTGTGTAATATATGCGTTTAGGAGATGGGGAAGGGGAGCACTCTCTCCTGGTCTCTCACCACCGACACCCCCCAGCAAAAGAAAAGGTGATGTGGTGGTGGTGGTGGTGGTGGTAGGGACGGCATCTTTTAAATGAGTTAAAAACTTTCTCCCTTGAAAGGCCAGGACCCCTGTTCACCTCTCGATGAGTTCCTACAAGTTACTTCGTTTAATTTTCAGGACCCCCCCCCCCAGCAATAATATGCTTACACTTGAGATCCATGTGGCAGATCCCCCCCCCCCCAAGGACTGAATGAATGGAGAGGTGGAAACTTCCTAATACTTTAAGAAGGAAAGATTGCAGTTGTGCTGATAGTAACTTGGGATAAACATACCGAGGGGAGGCAAGTGGGATGGTTTGTTATTAAAAGCTCCAGGAAGAAGCTCTCGCCCCCCCTTTTTTTGGGGGGGGAAAGGGGTACTGTGCAAACTTGACACTTTCTACCCCATAGGTCTTTCCCCCTCCCTTTCTCTAATCTCTGCCTTTGATCATAAAGGGACGCTTGCTAGATTTCACTAGAACTTCTCAGGGTCGACTTGTGCTCTGTTGTTCAGGAGAATTTTCCTCTGATGTTTCGGTAGGTTTGAGTTAGTGCATTCCTTTTATTTTTATTTTAAACCACTTTCCGGTAAACAATGTGTTATTTAAGGCTTCAGTGCCTTTAGCAACTTTTAAAAAAAAAGATTGAGAGAACCAAAGTACGTACATATCAATGTAAGTTGCTATGTTTTTCCCCCAATCCGCAAATGTCAACCTTCTAAATTTCATTGACTGAAAGAGAAGGAAGGAAAGAAAAAGAAAAAAAAAGTCAGAGGCCAAGTGATGGAGTAAACACGAGGACTCATAAGGAACCTTCTTTCCATTCATCCTTTTGCCAATGAGCAGGAAGTACTGTAACAAAGTTGGAAAAAATACAGTTGAGGAAAAAGTGCAAGTGGGAATTGGGAATCAGCATTCTAGTGGACAGCTATTTTGTGTGTGAATACGTGAGCTTCTTGTGAATGCTACTGCTTGCTAAGGATCATAGTAAATAATAATGATAGGATGGGAATCCAGACTTTTGGGTGGGACTTGCGTTTTCTTCTTCCTTTTTATTTAAACATATTTAACACTACGTTGCTGTTGGAGGAGTTCATTTGCTCTTCTCTTGGCATTCGTGGTTTTAAATATTACACACACACACACAAAACACAAAAGGCAAGTGTTACAAATGGTAAAGTGCAATTCATTGGTAAAAGTTAGTTCCTGAATGGGACAAACAAGGAATTAAGTTTACAGTTGTCCTTTCTGAAGAGAAGGCGCAGCTTGTCCTCATCTTCACAATAGTCCATTAGGTGAGAAAGCCTTTTCAAGCATTTTCGCCAGAGTGACAAATTAGAATCTTAGGAAAAGCAAACTCTAAAGGAAGATTTGTTTTTTAATTTTAAAAAAAAACTTTTTTTTTTTACAAGTCCCATTGCTCATGGATGTAAATGCAGGGCTTTCATGAGAACACCAACTATTTCCTGTAAATCGTGAAGCTGACAAAGCCGTCTGGAAATGATATCAACATTTTGCAAGGGTTTTTTTTGTTTTTTTTTACAACTGTAGTGAAAGTTTGTTACAAATATAGCTAATCCAAACAAATGGAGCACTTCACTTCCCCCGCTTTAAAAGAAGACATAAAGGCCTTTCTGTTTCCTTCTTTTTAAAAAGATGTAAAAGTTGGTTAAGCTGTGTACTATAGAGGACACATCACCAACCATTAGCTTCATAGAAATCCTCAAAACCTTCAGTGCCATATTCATAATCAAAAGGGAGATGATTAAGTTAAGAGCTGTCTCCAAGAGGAGGAAATGTAGTCCTCAGCTTACTATGCTACTTCTGGGTGTTGTGGACAATAGTAATAAGAATATAACATCACCTTTTAGGGAGACTGGTTTTTTTAAAGATATATCTTAAAGCCAGCTTGTGATAGTTTTCTCGTAGTTTTCAGACTACATTTCTTGGATTAGGAGGTGATCTCAGGTAGGTCAGATAGCAATAAAATGTACTGAAGACAGAGCTAAAAACTTCACTACACAAAATACATTTTGGAGGTTTAAATCAATAATCAAATGGTAGATCTTATTCTTATAAAGATATCGTATCGTAATTGCCCCCGCTAAAAAACTTGCAGGTATAGTTTTGAGGTGTTTGTGCCTCAACATATATGTTTTCATTTGTGAAGTATAAGCTGTTATGGCAAGCATTTGCTCTAGAGTAGTTTGATGACATTCAAATTCCTTGCTCAAAGTAAGCACTTGCAGAACTCTGATCTAAGGCTTCAGCGAGCCAGTTTAGCCAATACTTTCCTTAGAATGCCTTTTAAAAATGCCTTTATCTCATAAAGGAAACAATAGCTTTTCCAAGTATTTGTGGAATAGCACTGTGTATAGTTTCTAACTGTAAATAACACTGTTATTTTAACGTGTGTGTGTGTGTATCAGCACAAGGTACTTAATTATTTTGTTTATTCCTATGAAGTTCTAAGAGTCTAAGTAAGTTCCACTGAGTTTACTGATTTACTTCAAAGTAAATGTGCACAGTGTTTCAACCTTAATGAATGTACCATATCTGCTGTGCTTGAAGAATGTGCCTGTATACATATAGACCGCTTGTGTGCTGCAGCTCTGCTCATTAAAGACAGTAAAAGCAAAATTGTTGAAGAGCTTCTGACAGTGGCTGCTCATTAGAT